CCMMYTTKKWWTTTTTTTTTTTTTTTTTGAGACAGGGTCTCACTAAGTTGATCAGGCTGGATTCATACTGGCCATTCTCCTGCCTCACCTCCTGAGTAGCCAGTATTAAAGGTGTGAGCCACTGCACCCAGCTAGGAGATGTTTTTGAAGCAAGCTACTTCTGCATTCCCCTCTTGGAAAGTACAAAACATAAAAGCTCCTTTCCATGAGTGCTCACTGTATCCAGGGTCCTGAACATCCTGATCGTAGAATTGTGTTGAAGTACGTGATCACAGTCCCTACCATGGATTTCTGTGAATATTATAGTACTTGTGCCATGTTGGGGTCTTTGGCACAGCCCTGTCCTCTAAGAACTAATCATACTAAAGGTAGATGATCTGAAGGGAAGAAGCCATCTGTCTGAGGAGGAGGAGAAGCACCACAGTGCCACATGGTCAGCAATTTTCCTCCCCTTACCTGCCCAGCCCCTTTCTGGAATGCCATGTCATGGCCTCTCCAAGCTCTTACAGAGAGGTACAAGGGTGAATCACTGTACCTGTGAATTCCTCCCTGAGAAGATGCATATTTGTTCCACAAGTCACATTTTTATCCCCAAGGGGTTACTCCTCTGACAGCTGGGTCTCCTCAGACCCATGCTTAGCCACACAATTTCAATCTGAGCTCCATTTAAGGCATTTCCTTCCCCTATTAGTTCTAAGTGTTTTCCAGGTATTTAGGGTGGGATACCACCCTGAAAATCCCCAAGGCTGGCCCACTTGATGGAAATCAGCTACCTCTTTGTCTTTGCCTTCTAGAACTCAGAGTCCCCCCTGTCATGCCCCCCCATTTCCTGTTATGGAAACCCAGCTGGAAAGATACTAAAACCATCCACCCAAATTCAGTGATGCTTATTTGGTGTTTCCAGGTGCTCGAAGCTCCCTGGCTCCATGCCCCATCTCTGAAGACCAGCTGTGAATATATGAGCATCTGCCACCAGCCTGCTGTCAAGAGGGAGGACACTGAGTCAAATGATTACATCAATATTCCCAGCCTGACTCACCCTCCTAGCTGTACCCCTGCAGCCACACCTTGATGACAATAAGTCTTGTCTGTCTGCTAATTTCCAATGACTGCTCCATCCCCTCACAGAGCCCTGATCACCTCGCATGCCCCCATCTATCTGTGCCTTGAGGATGGCTCTGCCCCACATAATCTTGCACACCTTTGTACCCCACTGTGTGCCTGGAGGAGTCTGGGTGTACATAGCATTTGTCTCAATGCTCCTGCTTCCTTTTCAAACCATGTAACAGACTGTGGCATTTGCAGTGTCTTTGGTCACAGGGACTTTGCCGCTCTGGCTCTAGATCACATGGCATTAGTATGGAGTGTAGGCATAGCTGCCATTTCAGAAGCCCTTCCCAAGCTTAGGCCTCACACAAACAGCCAGCCTCTGGGTTGCACTTCATGAGGATGGGCCTCAGCCCTGTGAGCTAGGCAGGGCCTGGTATGATAACACTCCTAGGAAGGACTTTGCCTTGACCCAAAGGCTGGAACTTGCTAGTGTGAAACTATTTATCTCCTGTCCAATTTACTTTGATGTTATAAAGTATCCTACATTCTCAGAACCAACATTGTTAGTGATAGTGAGATATATATATATATATATAGGAAGGACTTTGCCTTGACCCAAAGGCTGGAACTTGCTAGTGTGAAACTATTTATCTCCTGTCCAATTTACTTTGATGTTATAAAGTATCCTACATTCTCAGAACCAACATTGTTAGTGATAGTGAGATATATATATATATATATATATATATATATATATATATATATATACCAATCCTCTTTAGTCTAAGTCTCCCTCATTTGCTATAGAAAAGAACCCTGACCCTAGCAGCTCCTGCTCTTTTAGACACAGTCTTTGTCTCCTCCTTACCCTTCTTCTACATCCTGACACTGATAGAACACTCATTTTTGGTCTGTTTTAGCCATCCCAAGTCATTACCTCTCTCTGCTTTTAAAAATGTCCCTCATCTTTTTGCCAGGTCCAGACAACATATAGCAAAGTGGGAAGGAAAGTAGCATGGGGTTCTTGGAGGATCAGGGGCTCTGCAGTAGCTCTTCTGTCATGGAAAAGGAGACACCCTGCCTCCTAGCAGCTCTTAAGTGTAGTCTTTCTCTTAAGTTTTTGGGGCAAGGTCATAGTTGGATACTATCTTTGGATTGATGTGAACTACAAAGTACAGTTAGAGCTTGAGAATGACCATTCTTGCCATTGAGAAGATCTTTCCCTGATACACAACACAGTCTCCCCAGGCACTTGCCCAGAAGTAGGGAGAACACACTGCCAGATCTGGGATGAGTTGCCCCCTTTATTAGCAAGAAATGTCATCACAGATTTGACAGTACCTCCAGGCACGGAGACACCATCAGTGATGTCAGCTTGTGGCTGTCACTTTCTCAAGTATCAGATAAAGGAAAAAATGACAAGAAGAAGAAAGGGAGGGATCCAGGGAGAAGGGATGGTGGAGTAGGGTAGGGTGGAGAGGGGTAGGGAGTGCAGCAGGAAATGAAATGTTGGGTGACAATCTGCTTTGTGCCAGGCACTTTAACCAACATGTTATCTTCCATCATTTGCTTTTCAAACTAATGCTCACCCTCACCCCAATGTTGTGCCCCTGCAGATATTTGACTTCCATGTGTTAAAGTTCAATATTATATCCTAGCATCCCTCGTTGTTCCTCAAAAATCCAAACACAGGTAAAAAAATAAAATCCAGTTTATTAAGTATTAATTGAGCACTTACCCACTGCCCCACACTGCAGCAAGGATCATGGGAGATAAAAAGGGAAACATGGGGCACTATATATATTCTGCTGCCTCCAGGGAATTTAGCACCTTGCAAATAAATATAACTTCAGTTGAAGCACTGGCAGTAATTAAATGGAGTTGTAATCAATACAGGAATCCACTTTATAGATTGTTCACAGCATCCTGTGACTGTCGTTTGGGCTGCTGAAAGAATGAAGTCTTTGAAGGGAAGCCTGGGACCACAGTAGGGTCCATGGCCAAGAGTGTGAAGTGCCCAGTGAGCTGCACAGGAAGGGACACCTGTTTGAAATTACATGAAGAATGAACAAGTTCACGATTCTTGTCTGGACATTCAGATCTTGTAGAATTTCTCCATCCAGGTCAGGAGAATGTCCACTTCCCCCAAAGCTTTCGTCAGAGCTGCTTCTATGTCCAACTAAGGAGAAAGGAGAGCCAGAGGTCAGCCACGTTAGCGGTGAGAATGTTTTCCTTCCAATCTGCCATGTCAGAAACAGACATGATTCCAAATCGAGGGCTGGGTCACCTGTGGAATGGTCTCTGATGATCTCTCCTGCCCATCCCTTGTCCCCATCTGAGTGTTTGTCTGCTTCAGGGATGAGGATAAAGAGAGTAGCCATGGGGTAGCCACAGAGTAGCGTTGGGTAAAGGACAAGAGCACTCAGCACCCCTAACCACAAGAACCACAGAATGCAGCCTGGGGTGGGTATGGCCCACCACCTGCGTCCACTGCGCAAATGAGGAAATGAGCCAGTGTGGCCTCTTTCCATCATGTATTTTGCTCTTCACCATTTATTTATAGGCTAATGTATGATCAAAATCACGTTTTGGAAAAAAAATAACTTGTGGGGAGAGGTGCTGAGAATGAAATTTGGATTATTTTGGGTGTGTGTGTCTAAATTTAGGAAGAGACAATATAATTTTCCATCATTTTTATTCATACATGAGACCAGTTGAGCATTATGGAAAATACTGCAGATGTGTTTGGGGGTGGGTGGGGTGACTCCTCGCCTTCTTTCATTACCCAGTTCAAGTACCCATAAAACTCTCTCACAGGGAAAGTCCCCAATAATGAAATCATCTGGTAGGGAAATATAATAGCATTTTAACTTGATAACAGCTGGGGAACAAAAGGCCACTTCATTTCTGCCACTTATACAAAGTACATGCTAATTGATATAAATATGCCTATGTTCCTGCTAAGTCAGGTGGGTTTGGGGTAAACCTGGTGGAGTCACCTATATTAAATTCCACTTTAGGTCTCTGAGGCCCCTTAGTGTGACAGGTTGAGCTATTCTGCTAGGTGAGCAAGCTCCCAGCTCCTAGCCTTACCCGTTTGAATGCTCTGTGGAACAGCAGAAACCGCTTGTGTGCACTCTCACTGACAGAAAACATCTCATTTTCCTGCTGGATAACAAGAAAAAAAATGTTGAGCCAAGAATTAAATGATGATGATGGTGATGCCACCAAGGGTCCCAAGGCCTGAGAGGACAGAGCTGAGCTATCCTCAGAATTGTCAATGCCCAACTCCTACCAGGTGGCAGAAGCTATCTCCTTTAATTCTCCAGGGAGAAGTGTCATGCTCATTTAACAGATGATAAAACTGAAGCCAGAGAGGCTGAGCACCTTGCAAAATGTCACCCAGTTGATCAGAAGCAGAACCAGACCTGAACCCAGCACTCTTTTTCCATAACCCCCATAACTCCCTGTTGTGGAATAGAAGCCAGGACCCGATAAGGAAAGAGAGTGTTCTCAAAACACACCATTGGCCGACTCCAAGGCCCAGCTTTGTTCTACTCACAGTGGGTTGAAGTTTTGACATGATGACAATAAAGTTGTTGGCCAGAGTAGAGAATGATTTCAGGGTCTTGAATTCAGCTCTTTTGTGGTACTTTTTGAAAACGGTGTTCAGATAGAACTTGAGCAGGGCGTGGATAAGGTAACAGCTCTCAGCATCCTGGGGGAGGATTGAGTCACTGCAAAGCAGAAAGCTCTGCCCACCCTGGAGGGACGACCCACATGCAACCCAAGGCAAGATAAGCACAGTAGGGGCAGGAGCCTTCCAGGAGATGATGAACGTTTGATCTGAAGGAACTTCAGGGGCCCTAGAGAATAACACCTGTTTCACAGGAGGAACCCAGACCTCAGGAAGGAGGTGACCCACCCAGAGTCACACAGCTGTCAGTGGCAGGCACAGACGGAGGGTCTGGAACTCCTGACTCCTCATCGAGCTAGTATTCCCTTTCTTTTGCACCACACAGCCTCCCTAATATGGGGAGGTCAGGGACCCTGAAAGCACTTGAACTTGGTCTTTGTGGTGGAGAGTTGGTGGGAAAATGACTAATAGGAAAAGAAATGAGAAAAACGAACATTCTTCAACAGCAATGCACTACAACCCCCTCAGCTCTTGAAGCTCCGCACCTCTTAGGGATCAGGGCTCAGTACATTTGTACTCACTCACTGAATTGATGGGTAATGAGAAGACAGAAATAGGTAAAGAAAAGCATATTAGTGGAAAAGAAGGTTCAGCTCAATAGATGCCCATTGTTTATATAAGCAAAAGTGAAATAGAGACTGGTGACAACTCTCTGGCTCAGTGGAGAAAGATGTTTATAAGTCTCAACCGCCACAGAGTGATTCATCTGCACGCTTCTCTGGCTCATGGCCAGATCTACCCTGTATAGGGTCAGCCCAGGGTAGATTGGGAAGGATTCCATCAGCCCCACAAAAGGAGGTATTGTCCTTGACCACCATCTGATTACCGAGACATTCTGCAGAACCTCCTGGCGCAGCAGCCGGACGCTGGTGTTGTTATCCTGAGCTTGCTTGGGGAACAGAAAGAAAAGATGTCTTCAGGTTAGGGGTCAGTGAGGAAGCTAATCCCACAAGTAGGAGCTGCTTCCCCGGACCCCTAAATCCAACCAGTCTATGAGGCGCCAGAGACCAGAGGGACCAAAGGAGGACCCAGGAGGGGTGGTGCTGAGCTAGCCCCTGGGGAGGGGGGACAAGTCTTATGTATAGCACATCACTAAGCGTGTCCCCTCACTCCCACACAGGCATATGGAATCCCAGGTCTGAATACAGACTTGGCTGAAGGACCTGTTGGATTCTTTTAGTCATTTGAGACAAGAGGAAATAAGTCAGTTTGGTTTGCTCTGTATTTTGCAGGGTAAGGAGGAGACCTGGGGGAGGAGGGGCTGCACCTGGAGCTCCCTCTGCAGCCCAGCCATTAATTTCAGATCTTGAACTTAGAACCAGAGCCCACCATTCAGGATGAAGCCTGAACAAATCAGCATATTTTTTCCATTGAGTTCTGTTTATTTTACTAGGGGCTGACCAGGTCTTTCTGAGCCTCAGCTTTCTCAGGGTACCAAGGGGCTTATAGTGCCTCCTGACCTCCTTGAGTTCTTCTGTAGAAAACTGATGAGCAACCTGTGAAGGTCYTCATAATTATCCCCATGGCTGGGTCCAGAGCATCTTTGCACTCACCACAGTTTCCTGGATGGTCCAGAAGGCCTCCCTCAGTTGCTGGAGATTGACCCCTTCTGCTCGGCAGGGCCCAAATTGGAATTCTTGGCTCTGGAGCCCTGGTACCTGGCTCCAGACAAACAGGATCAGGCTCAGGCGAGGGAGGGTGACCATCTGCAACCAAGAGCTCATCTGCAGCAAAGAAAGAGCAGACAGATCCTGCTGAAAGAAAGGGGGCCTTCTCCTGAGGCATGACCTCTGATCGGGAGGGATACCCCCCAGTATCATGCTCTGTGAGTCTGTCTAGGCCAACCTCAGGAGCATACAGATGGGGCACCTGAGTGTGCCATGGTCTGAATGTCCCAAGAAAAACTCATATTGAAAAAAAAAAAAAAACAACTCAACATGAGGTATGAAGAAGTGGGGCCAGGTGAGACCTTTAAGAGGTGATTAGATTATGAGGATTCAGCCCTCCATGAATTAATCCGTTCATGAATTAATGAGTTAATGGATCATCTAAAAGCAAGTCTGTTATAAAAGCCAAGTTGCCCACTGCTTGGGATGCTGCAAGCACCAACAAGAAGACCCTTACCAGATATGGCTGCCTGTTCTTGAATTTCCTAGCCTTCGGAACTGTGAGCCAARTATACTCTTTTTCTTACAAATTTTCCAATCTCAGATATTCTCCATGAGAGAAACAGAAATAGGCTAAAACAGATGGGTTCCCAAGCTTGAATACTACAGATGTGGGGCTTGTTGGGGTGCACTGGGGTGGGGCTAAAGCTTCTGGCTCCTCAATTTCATACACGCTGGTCTTGCCGTCTCTCCACCTGCCCTCCTCCACTCCACATTTCCATCTCCACATCCCTGTACCCACTTCCTTCTGCATTACAGCCATCCCAGGCCTCCAGCCTGCTAATTAGAATTTGACCACCACCACTACCACCCCCCCACACACAAAAAAAAGTAAGAACATGCCAAAGAACATGTCTAGAGAGCCCAAACTCATGCTTCCATATTTACTTATCTGAGAGTTGCCCAGGCACGCTAAGTCAGGTCTCCCTCCCTCCTCCCAGGAGGTGACTACCCCTGATACCTCATCACATTCCTGGCCCAAAGGGAGGGGGCAGAAAATACAGCCAGGTCACTCTACCATCTCAGCTGACCAGCTCACTCTTTTTTGTTTGTTTGTTTTAGGAGTACTAGGGATTGAATCCAGGGKCACTTAACCACTGAGCCACTTCCCCAGCCCTTTTTTTAAAAAAATTCTTTTTATTGGCACATTATAGTTATACATAATGGTGGTATTTGTTATAATATATTCATATGCACACACAATAAAAACATAAGTAAAATAGTAATTTGATCCKTTTCATTCCCCAGTACCTCCCCTCCTTCCCCCTGATTTCCTTTCTCTATTCCATTGGTCCCAGCCCCTTTTAATATTTTATTTAGAAACAGGATCTCSCTGAGTTGCTTAGAGCCTCACTAAGTTGCTAAGGCTGGCTTTGAACTTGCGATCCTCCTGTCTCAGCCTCCCGAGCYGCTAGAACTAACAGGCGAGCGCCACYACACCTGGCAACCAACCCACTCACTCCGGACTCTTAAGAACTGGCTTTGCAAGTAACTGAACAAGAGAACGGAATCAGAGTTCCAGGTGACTCACCTTTCAAACTCCCCTGAAGTGCCAACTGGAGAAGTCTGTRTGAAGGGCTCCCCAGCAAAGGAACTCGGCACCCTGATCTACTTACAACTGTAGGCACAGAATTTCTTTCTAGTGCTTTCTTTGCCCTTTGTTTTTCTTCTTTTCTTCTTTCCTCCCTCTCCATCTCCCACACTCTTTACTTCCTACTTCTTTCCARCACCATTGAAGAACCTTTCCTGTTCCAAGCCCTGTTCTCACACCTAAAGACAGAGCCTCCCACCCCCAGACTGGGAAGATGGAGAAGCCCTGCCTTTGGARTGATCACCAACACCTGGGAAAGGGAATAGGTGTCCAGGGCCAGTGTTCACTGTCCTCTGTCACGTGGGTCTGTGTTTCAGCATCTCCTTCAAAGTCTTTCCATTCCCTTCTTTCAAACTCTACAGGTTTTGTGGCCCCTCTTGAAAATTCATCTCTGGGTCTCATAATCCTCCTGGCCTTCCTTCTGCACCAACTGAATTCTTCGTGGTKTTGAATTAGAGAAACACCTCCTCAACCCATCACATCTTGTCCTTAAAAAACACTTAAAAGGACTTCTGCCATCCCCCCATGACTGCCAGCCCCAGGTAAAGCAGCAGCCCCATGCTTCAGAACAGAGATGCCAGAATCCCCCATGACTCACCTCAGGCTCCGTAAGTGACACTCCAGGGCTGGCTGTTTGGAGGGAGCTGGTCTGGTTTTATAGACAAGTAAGCTAAGCCACACTTCCTCACCACGCACCAAGTGACTGGACCCTTCCTGTATATAAGGGGGCTGTGGAGGGGAGGGACAGAGGAGGAAAAGGAGGTGGGGAGAGGATTATTTGTCATGGAATACTTAATTGTCTAGTCACCCTTCACTTTAAGATAATGAAGCAATACAGAAGGCGGTCCCTGAGGTGAGATGAGACCTGGGTCTGAATTCAGGCTCTCCCACTGTCTCTGTGGTCAAAGACAAGGGTCCTTGCTTCTCTGAGCTGCAGTTTCTACATCTATAAAACTTAAAAAAAAAAAAAGAAAAAGAAAAAAAAATCTGTCCTACTTCTCCAAGAGGGCAGGTATAAGGAGAAAAGACAGTGACAGAGAGGTACTTTTTAAATTCTGTACACAGAGCATACCAGTCTTATGATGTCAGAATAATTCAATGATTATGCTTAATTCATGATGGGTCAGTAGCCCAGAGGCTAAGGCTAGCCCCTAAGTGCCTCCCCTTCAGTCCCTTGGGGCCAGGAACTTTTAGAAGTGTTTTCTGACATGCACGACTCACAGTCCCTAGGGTTAAAGTCATTCAACCCAAACATATTTCTCCTTAGATTCTAGAAACTAGGAAAAATAAGAAAGTGTCTACATAGACCAGCCTGAAAAGCTGGGAGCCCTAGTATCCTGGTAGAGTAGCCCTGGCCTGTGCAGTGCTGACGGGGCTCACCCAGGGGATGCAGGCAGTGTCGAATATCGCATATCAAGCCCAGCAGAGGCCATCAAAAGACCTGACCACAGCTCYAGCTCATGAGGCCCTTTGGCTTCAGTTTCCCTGCCTGTGGAATGAGGGCATCAGCTGGAGCAGCATTTTCCAAAATGTAGTCCATAGAACCTCGTCTTGATGAATGCTTGCCTTGTAGAATACACCATGAAACAAGATAATGCATAGTCGGAGCAACCAGAGAAGCCCAGTGTGTACTTGTCCCTCTTGGAAACAGATGATGCGCCTAAGAGTGGTAAATATTTTGAGGAGGCCAGTGGAATGTGAGGACTGTGACCAGCCTTGTTTCACCCCTTCACCTCAGAAGAGGTTTTACCTTTTTAAATGACTGGAAAAAATAAATCAAGAAAAGGAACAATATTTTGTGACACATGAAAAAACACATGAAATTCAGATTTCAGTGCCCACCAATAAAGTTTTATTGGGACATAGCCACACCCAATTATTCACTTACATTGGCTACTCTTGTGCTACCAATAACAAAATGAGCAGCTGTGGTTGAAAGCCTATGGACCTCAGAGCCTGGGGCATTCACTCTGGCTCTTTACAAAAGGCATTGAAGACTCCAGTAGTTTAAGACTTCTTAGACAGTTGTTTATATGGAAATTGTCTTGTTTTCACTGTTTGATTAAAAAAAACAACTGTAGGGGCTGGGGATGTGGCTCAAGCGGTAGCGCGCTCGCCTGGCATGCATGCGGCCCGGGTTCGATCCTCAGCACCACATACAAACAAAGATGTTGTGTCCGCTGAAAACTAAAAAATAAATATTAAAAATTCTCTCTCTCTCTCTCTCTCTCTCTCTCTCAAAAAAAAAAAAACTGTAAGCCTAGGATAGATTGACAAATAACTATGATATTTTTAAACAATTAAGTTCCATTTTAATTTTTATTTTGCTACCTCACAGGAAATGCTATGGTCAACTTACGAAATAACCTTAATTACACCATATTTACTGGTTATTGCACTTTACTGGGAAATCTTAAGAAAAAAATTAAGCTAAAATTTACCAAAATCCTTTACTGTATAATTTTAAAAAATAAAACAAGATTATACTTTTTTTAAAAAAGGCATTGTTATACCTGTTCTATATATGAATGTTCTCAGGGTTCCTTAAACTGGGTCTAAGCAGAAATGGAGTGGGAATGATAAGAGAAGGATAGCAGTCCCCAGGTAGATGGAGAAGAAAGAACTGTGGACATGCTCCGTGGGGCGGGGGCGGGGGGGCTCCCTTCCCCCATTGGCAGACGTGCTGTTGTTTGTTTTCTTTTTCTTTATTGTTGGTCGTTCAAAACATTACATCTAACTTGATATATCATATTTCACAGTTTGATTCAAAAGGGTTATGTTGTTTGTTTTCTTAAGCGACAAAACATGCGCAATCCCCAGCCAGCACCCAACTGTCACCAGCTGAGTCCTCCTCCATCTTGCCCTAGGCAGGGACTGTCACACTTTCCCTTGCTTCAGGATCTAGAGCATTGCTAAACACCCCGGCCTCCTATGAGAAGAATGACAAGACAGTGATGAAGCAGATGCGAAGACAGGTGAGAGTGTGGAGCAATGATGGGAGGAGACAGGAAGCAGAAAGGGAAAAGGAGCCACAGGTCAGCACCCAGCTGACAGGTGGATGGGCAGGCAAGATGAGCTGGTTCCAGGGCAGGCAGGCTGGAACAGGGTCACATGGCAGTGGTATGGCTCAGCAAGCTCCAGGATATCCACCTGGGCTCAGAAGTAGAGCACTCTAAGGAAGGGAGAATGTAACGTGGATATTCCAAGCCAACGCAGGCCTGCGCCTCAGCCTCCAGGGACCTGTCCCAGCACCACTGCCCKAGAGGGGAAGCAATAAGAAAGCTCAGGGACCTTGACCAACATCCACTGAGACCACTGGCTTTGGAGGCAGGCAGACCTGACTTGGGTTCCAAGATGTGAACTTCCGCTTTCTCACTTGTAAAATGGAGTCTTGGGGCTACAGGGACACAATCACATATAACTTTGCGTTCAGTGTGATCCATGAACCAGAGGCAACAACAATGTA